GATTGATTGATTGATTGATTGTCTTTGTCTCTCTCTCTCTCCCCCCCCCCCCCCGCTTTCCTATTGTGAATTCAGTGAAATTATGAATGTAACATTACTTATATATTATCTAATGGCTGAATCCCTCACATTTTAAATTGTGTCTTATATACAGATTATATCTTCAGAAAAATGGAGGGGCAACCATCAATGAGCACCTATCTCCAGAATATTAAGATTCAGATAATTAAATTTGTATTTATAAAAACAAACTGAATAAACTGAATTTTGTTATATTGTTGTTTAAGTTCCTAAGCTAAGAACTGAAGACCAGCATTCAAATTTTTTCAAGAACTCAAAAGACATGCAGCAATTTATGTTAACTGCTTTTTTTCCATAGGGTCTCTTACTACTTTTCTCATGGTCTCTGTACTTGAGAATCTTTCAGTTATGCTAATTTTACTTCCAAGATACTTTACTTAGCTTGGGTAGAGAGCTTGGGTAGAGAGAAACAAACATTTGGATAGCGTGCTTTTCTATGAATTACTGCAATAAAGACTTTAAAATACTAATCATTGCAACTAAAATTGTCATATACATAACCTAAAAGAGTCTGCATCAACCAAAAAGTGGTTAAAAGCTGACATCCCTAAAATAGCATTTACATTCTTATTTTTATTGTGAGTCTCTACAATATAATAATATAGTTTACATTTTCCATTTCAATCAGGTCTTCAAGAATATGTGGAAGCTGTTTCATTTCAGTATTTTATCAAAACCCGGTCATTAATTAGCTTAGAGGACGTCAATAGACAACTGATATTTACAGAAGATAATAAAGAGGAAGAAAAGAAGGTATTATAAATAATCTTAACCACAACTTTCATGTTTCATTCATCATTTGTAAATGGGTATTATAAAGAATTGCTGTAGAGGATGGACAATAGGATAACGACGTGATTATGAAAGGTCTCCTTGTAGTTCTACTTTCTGCAAGTCTTTTTTTTTTCCCCCTCCCTGTTTCAGAGGTGGTTGGAAAAGCCTCACTTTTTTGTTTTAGAGTCAGGGAGAAACTGAAGTTTTGAATCTCTGATATCATAAAAATCTTTTTATTTTGTCACTATAACTCCTAGCATAATCTTAGGCTGTTTTCCTCCAAAATGCTACAGAGGCATAAAAGAATAGGAGCACTGGGAATGTATTAGGAGTGCAGCTGATATTGTGGTCCTGTGACAAATAGCATGAAGAAAAGAAAGATTCCTTTGGGATGATGCCTTTGGTATTTGAAACCTGACATGCAAAAACTTCTTTTTCTCAGTTTAATTCATTTTCTCTTGTCTGAAGGTTGGAATTATTTTTCCACTTACAAAATTGACATAAAACTTAAAAAAGACGCTTATGGGACTTATACTAGGGATACTATATTTGGGCTCCAGAAGTACAGGAAACTCTAATTCTTGTCTGCCAACTCATTGTCATCTGGTATGTCTCAGCCCATGTATGGAATCTCTAGCTTGCACTAGCACCAGCCATGGATGTGTTAGGCTAGCCAGCAGCTGCTAGCCCTTTCCTCTTCTCAAAATGAGTAACCATCCTTGCATCATTCTTGCAGAGCCTGGCAGAACAGTTCTCAGCTTCTCCTTTCTGTCCTTAAGAGTTAAATGTCTTTTGCCCTTCACATTTGAGATTTCCAGTCAATCAGATCTTGCTGCTTATAAACTGCATATGTCTAATCTCTTTTCTGATGAGAGCTAAGAATGAAAATTTCCATTCTCCTTTAGTTTCCTCCTTCATTGGCTCATGTAAACTTCCTCTGTGAAATTGACAAATTGTTGATCTTGCTTATATCTAAGTGTCTGCCAAAGTGACCAGTTTCTTGAGATATCACAGTCTCTCCCATAGTTGATCCTTGGATAATGAGTGCATCTTGAGGATCTGGATGAAATTTGTGGATATTTGTTGATTATGGGGTTAATGTTTTTTAGTTTAGCTCATTAAACGGTTAAACAGACAGTAATATGCATATAAGCACTGAAGATGTTACCTAGCCGGGTAATGAAACGTTTGCAAGAAAAGAACCAAGCTTAGAGAACCCCAAGGACTCCATAAACAGTAATATATAGAAGTTTACTACACAGTGATGATGATAAATATATAATAGTAGCAAAGTATTTATTGTTTTCAAAATATAAATAATGCAAGATAGAACTAGAAAACATACACGGATATACAACATAATAAGTAGCTTCTATTTGATTTAGAGACTCTAGCCTACTGCCTATTGGAATGAAGGGTTTCTGTAAAAGTTGTTGCAATCATTCTTTTCTAGCTGAGCTAATATTCCTTACTGTATGGTTGACAGTAAGATAATACTTACCTAGAGTAGAGATGATTATTCATGCCATGTAATTGTTGATGGCACAGGAGACTTACTATGTAAAAAGAAAGACTATTAATATTATGCCACCCAAAATAGACTTAATTTAGGTCCAGTGTAAAAGAGATGAATTAAGTTAAAAAACTGCAAGCCTTCCATCAAGGACAGTCATCCATTAAAAGGTTCCAAAGCCAGGCCACTTTCTTTCTAAAAATGCTTTTATTGAATTAATTTCCTGAATTATGTTTTACAAATTGCAGTTTCTCTCTGTTCTAAGCCGTTTTTGTATTCTGTTGTATTACTAGCTATCTTCGGATTCTCCCAGTAAGCAAAAAAACACCTGGAACATAAAAGTGACACCTGTGGATTATCTTCTGGGAGTGGCTGATCTAACTGGAGAATTAATGCGGATGTGTATTAATAGTGTTGGCAATGGTGATATAGATACACCATTTGAGCTGAGCCAGTTCCTGTGTCAGATTTATGATGGCTTTTCTTACATTGGTAACACTGGACCTTATGAAGTTTCTAAGAAACTCTATACTTTGAAACAGAGTTTAGCTAAAGTGGAGAATGCCTGTTATACATTGAAAGTCAGGGGTTCTGAGATACCAAAGCATATGTTAGCTGATGTGTTCTCCAGTAAAACAGAAATAATTGACCAAGAGGATGGGCTTTCCTAACCATACTTGGAATCTCACAACCCACAAGGATCAAGAACTACAGGATCAGGACAAAGCAAAGCCCTGGATTTGCTTATTAGAAATCTTAGCCATAATATATGTTTTAAAATTAGCTGAAGTAGAATATGTTGTATTCTAAAACTGTTACTGCATAATGATTTAACATGCCTATCAAACTCATTGCCAGTGAAAACGGTGTTTTTTTGTACAAAGGCCACCTCTTATATTCTGTACTTTATTATTGTAGGCATACTGCAGGTTACCTTAAACCAGATATCAGTGAAGGACCATAGTCCAGAATATACATTCAATATTACAACTATTTTGTTTTGTTGTTGCTTTTATCTAAGTGGTTAAAGTCTTTGATGTATAAATTTCAGAATGTTCTGGTGTTAAAATTAGTATGTTACGTTTCAAATGACTGAAAAGAAAGAGAAAGTTGGTTGAGTGGGAAAGAACCTGGGGGAAACTAACAAACTTAGCTTATATTATACTTTGGGTACTTTCATATCCCTGTTTGAATATCTTAATGATGGCTTTCTGTAGATAAGTTAATATTAACACCCTGCAAATTAAGCCAAGCAAAACCTAAACATGTGTAAAGAGTTTTAGCATAAGTAAGATCAGTGTGCATACCCAATTAATATAGATTTCATGGAAGGATTTGGATGAGCAAGCTTGAGAAGATAAAATAAGAAAAATATTTGAAATATGGTTTAAAACTGAAGTTGCCAGTATTTGCAAATTATGTATCTGTTCTATGTATGTTCTTCAGAAGATTACTGTTCTGTGTATTTAGTTAATCTCTTGCTTCAAATTCAGAAGGTTTCTTGATTAGCAACTCTGGCTTAGACCTTGACTTCCTTTCTGTGAATAGAATAGAATTAAATTTATAGAACAGGCTTTCCTGCTTCCCTTTTCTCTCTGTAAATCTGTTCCTGAGAACAGGGAACTCTTGGGCATGATGTGGAATAAATTATAAGAGGCCTATTGGTAGAAATTCCATGTATGAATTCAGAATCCGAGTCATTGTGTTCTGGGGGAAGTGTAAAACATAAAAGTAGCTGAGGACCCAGGCCCTCCACTATGCATGAACACATTGGAATTTTTACCACAGTTCTTGTTTCTATATTGCTGATATTTTAGCATGGCCTATAGATTCACAGTATAGCATTTTTTCCCCTAGCATCACCAAATTTCTCGTGATAAAAATTTAGAAAGCAGTGTTTTCCTCCCCTTATAAGGCTTAATGATGTTTCTACAGTTTATACAATAAACAAATGAATCTTGTAAAAGTATTGTTTGCCATCTGCTTTTTCTGACAAGACAGTCTATCCTTTTCTATGTCATACTTTAATGAAAACATTTTTTCCCTGACACTTTCCAGTTTGCCACCTAGTGAATTTGCCATGTAACTAATTTTTTTGCAGAAAAAAATAAAACTGTTTCTAGTGATAGTGTTGCTCTGAATGCTCATAACTTTGGATCAGCTTGCCAACCAAGATAAAAGAGGTATTTGCAGTTTGTTGCTTGTTCTCTTTGCAGTACATTATTTGAGGAGACATCAAAAGAAATACTTTTGTCTGATTTTTTTAATAGGTCAGAGGCATCTGTGGTTCCTCCTTTGGCAGTCACAAGGTTCCCTGCTTTGTCTGATTTTAATATTTATTTAGAATTTTTACCCCACCCACACAGGGATGGTGGCAGTGGCATGTTGCAAACAAAATGCCAAAATTTAGCATCTTTACAGGAATTCCTCTAGACCCCTCATAGATCCCATAAGCAATATTAGAAATGAAAATGGTGGGTAGCTGCAGTCAAGTGCTTTGTTTTGAAATCTGCCATCTACCAGAAAATAATAATAGTGTGCTAGGGAGGCAAAAGCTATTTTGGGGTCTAGAGGGGGTAATGATTAATCACTTTGCTAATTTGCTTTCTGGCAAATAGGTATTTTGTGTCTTGATACATCTTCCATAAGAGTCCTCAAACTTCCAAATTGCTCACTGACTCAAAACGTCCTACTCTTGAATTAGGTTGTTTGACATACATTTACCTAGGCAATAGGTAGTTATCTAGGCATAATTAAATACTGCCTTCCTGAATCTGATGTTTTCTAGATGTGTTAGATTAAAAATGTATTAAGCACAGCCAATATAGCTAAATACATGCTGGATTGATAGGAACTGCAGTCCAGTGTATAGGAGGCACCAGCCAGAGATTGGTAGTCTAAAACCTATGTAGAAGTTGTGAAATTCAAATTATTCTGTGAGGTGATGAGCAAACATTCCTTATGGAACCATGAGGTCTTTGGAAAAAGAAAGACAGTGTATACCTGAAAATTCTGTTCCGGATATATTGACTATGTCTGATTATTGCACGCATAGTTGGTAAAATATTCTTAGTGGTTCTCCACACAACCTATGTGGAGTTTCCACAATACAAGTTGATCGCTATCAGTAATAGCTAGGGAAGAGCACCAAGCATTCCTAGAAATACATCTGTCATACATATGCCTGCATCTGAGGTCAAAATAATGGTTGAAAGAAGGTGTTTTTTTTTTAAAAAAAGATTTTATTGAAGTTTTTAATAAACATAGTAAAAACTAATACAAACTAAACTAGAAGAAAAAAAATTCAGAAGGTGCAGAAAAGGGAAAAACAGAAAAAGACAACAAGGACAATAATAAAAAGTGGCTTCTAGCTTTCATTACACCGAGCACAAGCTAATATAACTCTTCACCCCTTTTAAAGTTACAAATAAAAAAAAACTCTTCTCCCCATAGCATAACTTTTATCTATACACAACCCAGAAATCATTACCTTTTCAGTCCTGGTTCAGCAAAAAGTCCATTAGGAGTTACCAGAAATATCAAACAAATAGTTTACCCCGGTCAAATAGTCCAACTTTATATTCCTTATTTTTGCTGTGCACAATCTTGACCTTTAAATCATTCCTATGGCATTGCAGGATTTGATCTTACATCACTCTTTGGCATTTACAAGGAGTCTTCAAAGCTTTCACCAGCCTACTTTGTAAATGCCATAAAGAGGCATCGTCCAGGATTTCTTGTCACAACTGTTCCATGTCCAGATCCTTTTCTTGATTCATCTTTTGTATTCCCATTTTGGTAATCTCAGTTTTGTCTTCCATGCCTTCAAACTCTATAATGTCTATTCCAGGTAAAAGTTTTTTAAAGTTTTTCTCATCATCTTCTAAAAGTTTATCCATTGAAATCTCTATCCTTTCTGAGATATTAATTATTAATATATCAGTCCATGTTTCAAAAAACTTTCTAAGATACGAAAAAGTTATAGCCGGCTTAGCCATTTTAACTCTTTTCTGTCTGCTCTTTCAGTTTCCTCTAGTTTCCTCTAGGTTCCTCTAGTGCAACCTTCATCAAGCCTCAATTCCTAATATAGGTTTAGTTCCATTTCAGTCATTTCCAATGCATATATTATTTAATTATATACTTTTTAAAATCTTACAGCAAAAATAACCAATATTCCAAATTTCTCTGGTCTCCCAATCCATTTAAAACTTTCTTAAATGAAAATCATTTTTTGCTTTTTGCCAATTGTATATTATTTTAAATTCATAAGCCACTATTAAAATTTCTTAAATCCAAAGAAGAAGGTAAAACTCACCAGGTATCAAGTTAAGCTCACTGTTTTGAAGGTTTCTAATATCAATAAAGTGGTTAAATTGAACATTTCCGAATGTGATTGGAAAGTGAGTTTGGCTGGCTTAGTGTCCTTATGAAAGGCTCCACTGCTACTGAGAGCAAAGATGTTGTCTCCCTCGGCTCCTGGCGCTCAAACCCATGGGAGACTGCTGTTTTACGGTTTCCTCACAAGAAGCTGCCATTCACAATGCTGATGGGCAATCTCCTGACCTCTCCTTCTCTGGAGAGATTTGAAGGACTGATCAACTTGCTGGTCTTTTGTTCTTCAAAGCAGTCGTCTCTGCTCATGCGTGGAGACGTCTTCAGTCAGCCATGACTCACACCAGTAGCTGAAAGAAAATGTTTTTGGAAACACTTTTCCAAAAAAGGTTTTCCATGGAAGAAATGAAATCCTTTGCCCTCCCCAGTCCAACCCTCAGGGCATGGCAACTGAAGCCCCCCAATACCAGAAGGCTGAAGAGACACCAGTCCCAAGATCAGGTCCAGAAGTTCAGGCAACAAAATGGCTGGTACACAAGTAAGCTCTTCATCTTGTTCCAATGTCCAACTTAACCATGTGGTCCAACAAAAGCTCTCACATCTCTCGCATCAAAGCAGAATCCCTGGTCACAGGCAAGATATCTCTATATATCAGCACCACCTCTCTTTCCCAGCCTTGGCATCTTGGCTGTTTCAGGATCCGATATCTTGGAGGGTAAATTTTTGACAGGGTAACATCTCTGCCCTCACCCAACTAGGTTTTGGGAAGAGCAGATTTGCCCACTCACCCACTGCCCATTCATAGATGAGCATGGATTTTGCTTTCATCAGCCTTTGGTCAAGATTCACAACAATCTTGCAACCAAGATGCCTGGAACAGCAGATCCTCATCCAGCTATTCCTTCCAACTATAACAACAACTTACCTTGGATAGAAATGGGCTTAAAAAGAAAAGTATGAAGAACAGATGTTTTTACTACATTCGTTTGATTTGGATTTTATTTCACATTTAGATCGTCGATGTGGAATTTGCATTTTTAAACTGGTTGGCCATATTTAGTGGCCCTAAAGGAGCCCATAATACTTTTTAAAAAGATGATTTACAAATGGAAAATGGCACAAGAGTTTTCCAGCTACATTAAACAAAAATAATGATAGAGAAGGAAGATCCACTCCTGATCACCAACGTCTCATTTATTTGGCCCTTCCTATACATGTTACAGGAACTTAAATGCATTTCAAATTTACATGACTGCTGTGAATATTTGGAAAAACGACATTTAAGTCACAAAACAATAAGTGGCAAAATGCCTATTTCTTAGCTTGTTTAAGTCTGAGGTTGATCATATGCTTGGTATTGGGCCAAAATCTAAGCATTGTTTAAACAGATGTTCTGCAAAAGTTCCCTTGTACTGTAACATTCTATATATTGGGAGCTGTTTCCTTTTAAGGAAATCAGTTACTTTGGGCTGCTAGAGCACTTTTATTTTAGAAGTAGTGAATTGAATGAAGCACATAACATAGCCTTCTGCCCACGCCCATTCTGTCTACTTAACTACTTCCTTGGGAATCAGTGTAAGTATAATCAGAGCCAAAACCCAAGCAACATCTTTCTTGCACGGCAACTGCTGAAATCTAGGGATTCTTTCTGAAAGTTACGTAGGTTACCTGGAATTTCATGTCTATAAATAGAATATGAAAAACATAATCTGAGAAAGCACTGGCATTCCCAAATTGTTCCTTGGAAAGTGCTTCCAGGAAAGTATTTTCTCTGATGCTTCGATTATATTTATATTTTACTAGTGGAACCTGGGAAGTAGCTTCAACATGGATAAACCATACAGTAGCTTGCTTTTTGCAGGCCATCTACTGTGTGGTTCACGACCACCTCCAGGGACGTTTAATCTCTCTATCTTTTTTGTAAAAAATTACCCTCCCATTCTTGGTTTTAAAATTCTGCAGCTTTTTTGCTGGGATAAACCACAGTATAATACTGTACAGTTTGAGTTTTATCTGTGGCAAACTAAGTAAAATTTCATCTCAAGAGGGTTCAGAATGAAAGATTTCCTGAAATGTTTTGAAATAATTTGTGGGCACCTTGAGAAAAAGATGCCACATAACATGAAGTCCATATTACACATATTTTTCCCTGGAAATTTTATATGTGTGTTTATATCAGTGTTTCTCAGCCTTGGAATTTTAAGTTGTGTGGACTTCAATCCCAGAATTCCTCAGCCAACATGCTAGCTGGGGAATCTTAAAGTTGCCAAGGTTAAAAAACACTGGTTTATATATTCATTCCATCTCTACATTTTTCCTTTAGTGCATATATGCAATAGTATATTGTTTTTAAATGGAACATTTTTGAGATGGACAAGCTTCTAAGCAGGAACCTCATTTTCTTCCATGAAAGTCTGAAAAATATGTTCTGCGTGTTTATTTTGCGCTGTCTATTCTGTGCCTTTTCTATGAGAAGCCCACATTGTTTCCAGTCATTCTGATCATCTCCTCTGGTCATATCACTGGGCAAAAGTGTGAAATGGACAACCTCAAACTCTTACATCGACTGGGTACAAAATGTGACGTTAGGTCTGCTTTTTAGATTAGTGGATATACTAGCACATTATTAGCAATAATTACTAATATTAGCACATACTAATCCATTGTTTGCTTAATCATGGCTTTAACAAGTCTTAATTAGTTGAGTTTGAACAATATGCTAATCTGTGAACTATGATTTACAAACCATAATGGCTGAGCTTATACAATATGAAAAACCCAAATCAAACAAACTACATTATGGCTTTGCATGATATATGATCCCTAGCCTATCCGAACAACAACAAAAAAGCGAATTATTTTCTTTACAACTTTAAACTCAAGAATTGGAAGTGAAATCCTATAAAAGAAAAAGAAAATTTACAGGAGTCTCATTATGTTGCCATGAAACTCTTTTTTTCAAAAACACCTCCCCTTTTCTTGCCATCTATAAGGCATTGCAGGGGTTTCTGATGCAGTCCAATAGTGACATCATGTGGACACTATTGTCTATTTCTTCAAGCTATTCTGTTTCAGCCTGCCTGGGATTTTAATTTTATTTTTTTTGCATAACTCCAATAAATATGCCAACTCCAATAAACATTTATGGTTCAACAGTCACAAACAAATTACAGGTAGTCCTTGTTTAGCAACTGCCTCATTTAGCAACCATTTGCAGTTATAACAGTGATGAAAAAGTAACTGCGACCAATCCTCACATTTATGATCTTTGCAGATTTATAAAGCAAAGGAAAGCTGAAGTAAGATCATAAGCATAGTTGTGGTTTCACTTAGTGACCACTTTGCTTAATGACTAAGTTACTGGTCCCAATTGTAGTTGCCAAATGAGGACTACCTGTATTTGTTTTTCATAAATAATGGAGTTTTCCATTCAATGCTGAAGAGAAACCACCAAGGCCAATTCCCTCACGATACAACTTCTCTTTTGTTTATGCAGTGTGAGCATAAAGTCCTGCCTACAGACCTACAGAATATCTGCCATAAGCCAGTAAAGCTACAAATTTCAGCCATTTAAATATACCTGAATATTTAATCCCCTTTTTTTCATTTCTTCTACCTTTTGGTTATAATATCCTCCTGCTGGCAATCTATGGTTAACAATAATTGCAAATGAACACTGTTGATATATAACACAAGCAAGATCATTACGGAGCTGTCTTACTTCAAGTCTTATATTGTACCATTAGTTCATAGGAAAACAATGTCCTGGTGAGAAATCAATTATTGGCCACAATAGAATAAAACACCTCCAGTCTCTGCTGTGGTCTGCAGAGCTGTGGGGCTGCTGGTTTCCAGCTACTACTTGCAGTGGGCAAATGGAGATCTGTTCCTCAGCGGCCTGTTGATCAACTTGACCATCTGATCTGTGAGGAACAGACTGGTGGTTTCCGTCTGCTAATGGCAATGGGAAGTCAGCAAGCTTGGGCCGTACTGCTGAGGAGGATGAGGAAGAGCCTTGCCCCGTCTCAGCAATTCTACTCTAAATCCAGGGCTTCCTGCAACAGGAAACCAGCCATCTGGAAGTAGAATCACCCACCAGAGGTGGGGTGCTGATTGACCACATACATTTTAGTTACTAAAACCTGTATTACTTGCCTAAGCTTTTTAAATGGTGGGAGTTCTACAACATCTGTGATCCTAAGGAACACTTTTTCCATTCAGCTCCATTGATTCCTCTCTCCTTCTGCTAGAGAAAGACCCATTTTTACTAATTTTCCTTCCCTTTTGTTGCCTTCTGCATACCAACTTTGTTTCAAAATATCCCCTACCTCAGTATTTCTCAACCTTGGCAACTTTAACGTATGTGGACTTCAACTCCCAGAATTCCCTAGCTGGCATGGCTGGGAGTTGAAGTCCACACATCTTAAAGTTGCTAAGGTTGAGAAACACTGCCCTACTTCCTGGGGCTGCAGTCAAGAAAAGGAAATCAGAGAACATGAATCCTGATAAAGGAACTAAACCTGAGAAGAAGCTCCTGCCAAGAGGGATTTAGGATCCGAGGCAGTGTCTCATTCTAGCTTGAGATGACGTCTGTGCATGACATGCTAATCACAAGTGTGCATGTCAGCATGATGTTGTCAGTTTCTTTATGTGCTGTGCGTCATGTCAACACCAAGAAACTGCTCTTTCAGGTTAGCATAAACTGCAAGCTGGAAATCAACAACCAAGATTTCAACCTCTATTGAACTATATACTCTTAGGATAGCATTAGCTTTAATCCTTTTATCCTCTCTCTCTCTCTCTCTCTCTCTCTCCCTCCCTCCTTCAAGTCCGTCTTGACTCCTGGCAACTACTGGACAAGTCCCTATATCCACAATATGGATATACTAATATGAATGCAAGACTCTGGACCTGAAAAGTTCCCAGAAACGAAAACTTAATACAAACAGAAAATGTGTAACTATATCCTTGCAACAGCTGTTACAGAACTATTGACAGAATGTTTGTGAAGCACATTGGAATACAGTATTTTTATCAATAAACAAAGGATGAACACCTTATACAAAATCTCCAGTACTGAACCCTCAAAATCCTGTTACAAACCTCCGAGAGTTATGCCCATTACTACTTTTAAGCTTTCCAGAAAGATTTAGATCAGGGTTTCCCAAAATGTGAGGTGTACCTCTCTTGGGGAGGCGCAGACAGAGTCCAGGGGAGGTGTGAAGAACCTTTTAGTTGTACATTGTAACAATAAATCCACCTTTCCCAAAATACTAGTTTCAAGTGAGTAACGTGGTGGAGGAGGCACAGACTTTGATTTTTTATTTTTTTATGCCTTTATTAAAAATAGGGTATCATTGTATTGTTCTCATCATTTATTTGTGTTCATTTTGGTGTTTGGATTTTTAGGGGAGCTGTGTACATTAAGATTAAGCTAAAGAGAGGGGTGATGGTGAAAAGTTTAGGAACCCCTGAGCTAGATGGCTAAAAAAATGTTGGATGGGTTGATCTTTATTGCTGTGGAAAAGGCAAGATTCTGCTTCATAATATGCATTTAAGCACCACCCAAAAAATAACTCTGCTAAGTATTTGGATTTATTCCTTTTACTTTGAAAATAAGGAAAAGTGAGAAATAATATTTGAATCAGTTCTGAGCAGAACAATTACGCAATACAGACAGGCTCACTTTTGCATACAACATTATTGCCAAGCAGGACTTAGGCCCTATATATTTTTCTTGTCAGTCTGGATACAATCTAACTTTCATGATTAATTTTAGTGATTGATCCTATGGATTCAGAATGCCCACATTTAGTTTTTTATCCCACCTTATTTTTATAAATAACTCAAGTTGGTGAACATACCTAATACGCTTTCCTCCTCCTATTTTCCCCACAACCACCACCTTGTGAGGTGGGTTGGGCTGAGAGAGAGTGACTGGACCAAAGTCACCCAGCCGGCTTTCATGCCTAAGGCGGGACTAGAACTCACCTTCACCACTAGACCAAACTGGCTCTAGTTTCACTAAAGTGTCCCTCTTCTTCACATGGTCAGAGTCCAGTCCAAGCCCTGGAAAATAGGTTGAAGGATGATTCCAGATCCTGGAATTCAAACTGGCTTTTAAACCTGGGAGGAATTCCTGTATGTGATGTGATGATGTACCAAAGATTAATGTGTGATGTTGAGGACCTCAACGAATCCCCAGCCCCAGGCAGTCAGAAACTCAACAGGAGCAGTCGCCTCCAGCAAAAAGAGAATTTCTAACCGTGCGGTTACTAAAAGCCTGGAAACCCTGGGACGGGGCGAGAGAGAAAAAAGGCGACAAGTTTGGGAAGGGCTGCGACCAGAAAGGGCTCTTCCTCTCCAGCCCCGGCGGAGACAGATTGGACGGCACGGCCTCCACCCAGCATTTGGCTGCCGCCCTGGGCCTTCCCGCCTGCTCCAGCGGATGCGAGCGGTTGTCCAGGGGCGGGGAAGGAGCTAAGGCCGAGCCTGGGATGGCCGGAGCGCGCCAGCCGCAGAGCATCTGCGGGGCCGGAAAGAGGTTCCAGCGCGCCCCAGCTCGGGCAGGACGCAGCCGATTCAACCAGGTGAGGATTTGGGCTTTCCTGGGGCGAAGGGAGGCAGGTTGGCAGCAACCGCGCCGTCGCCCCGCTGCCTCCCGAGCCACGTCGGTGGGCGTGGGAAACAAAATCGCCTTCTCCCCCGGCGACCCCGCTGCCTTCCTGGGCTCTCAGCGAGCGCCTGCCATGGGCGCAGCGCCGCCTCTCTTTCTCCCGCGGCGGTGAGAACAGCTGAAAACGGGACGCCGCCCTTCGCAGTAACGGCGGGAAGGGGAGGCTGGAGGGAAGCTTTCAGACGTTTGCTTTGCCACCGTCACTTTCCGTGGTCGTCCTCCGGTCGCTCCACCGCCTGACCGTCCGCTCCGCTGCCACCTCCCGTCCCTCCTGGGGCTAGAAGAGGGGCGCCAACGCAACCCTGCCTGGTGTGAAGAAGACGCGAAAGGATGTTGGGGGCAAAATAAACAGGGCGGCTTGCCGCTTTCTGCCCGTAGGGCTCCTGTCTCTCTAACAGTTACTGTGTTTTCAGGCAGCCTCGACCAACAGTTGCTAGCGGAAGCGCTCCACTTGTTGGATTTCAGCATTTAAAAGGATTTTAAAAGCATTTTATAGGCGCCTGGCTATAGAAAAGAAATGCTTTGTACATCCTAACAGGCCAGTCATTGCATTCTGCACCAATTTATCCAGGAATAAGTCCATCCTAGTTATTCGGATCTGTTTCCCTTTCCGTTTCAACAGAAAATGTTAATGTGTGGCTGGTACCAGGGAATGTTTGTGAAAAATAATGACAGTCTCTTTCATGCCAGGTAAATAGTTGAAAGCCTAACCTGTGAGGGCCTTTCTTTAACCTCTTTCTCCTCTTTACTGTTGTATGGTACAGTTGTCATATGAAAAATTTCCCAGAATGTAATGTCTAAGCCTTTCCGAATCTGGTGCAGCCAACCCCTAAAAATCAAGATGCATGAAAGGCTGGCCTGGACAAATTTGTTTGTACTCTTTCTTGCCCTAAACCACCAATGAGAATAACCAAGTGTGTAATAAGAATTGTACAGATAGAAAATATGCCTTACTACCATTCAGAGGAAATCAAGAATTTAGATATGTAGAAAAATATTTTTAGTATCTGTATCTTTTCCTCTATAAAGCTGACTTCAACTTAAAGCTGTGATTTTAGGCGTGGGAAGTGGCACACTAGAGGGAACTGAAATACTTTCTCCAATCTACTTCCGTTGTTTTCACAGCAGTGTCATGAAACTGTTTGTCAGGGAAAAAGAAAGTGCAAGATATGAGTCATGGATCTTATACATCATCTTTGATCTTAGATCAAGCTAAATCAGACAGGTCTTCAGCTGGCCTTGAGAAAAATATACAGATATCATTTCAGATGCAGCTTATGAACTTTTGCCGTGTGATCTGGTGTACAATTATGTCTCTTCTGTTATTGCCAAAAATATTTATCTGGAACACAGAGACAAATATGTCCACAAGAACTGTTTAAATCAGTGTTTCTCAACCTTGGTGACTTTAAGATGTGTGGACTTCAACTCCCAGAATTCCCCAGCCAGCCATAATCTGTGAAATTATACAATGCAGTCGAAAAGGACCTTGATCTTGCAGAGGCCAACTCTACTGATCATGTCAAATTCCTTGGTGAGGTAATCAAGTATTGATTTATATTGCCCTTTGCATTCTTAAAGTAACTAGTTCTTACCCTTGATTTAAATACTAAATATATGTTAACTGATTGCCTTGAGATCAATTTTTCTGTTGTCTAGTTGGAAGTGGTAAAAACTAAATTACAAAGTAGTATGTTCATCACAAAAAGTAGGGTTAATCAATTTCACAGAGTTTTCTGAAAGCGATTGCTGGATAGCTGTAAAATAGAACTGGTATTTCTGTTCCTGATATATGTATTCTCTCCCACCCTTTTTTTTATTCATGCCAAACAGTCCATAGAATCAAATTTGGAAGGGTCCAAGTATGGTTCCCTGCTCAGAGCAGGACATTCAGCTTCCATTTGAATATGTGCAGTGAAGGAGAATCCACAACTTTTTTGAGATCAACCTACTTTTACTGCCACAAAGTTCTTTTCCCCAACATTAAGTAATAATCTGCCTTCCTTTAACTTAAATCCATGATTTTGTTTCCTGCACTGTAGAATAATGGAGGATCTTTCTGATCTTTTGTGGATGATTGTCTCCACCTGTCCTTCTGAATGTTGATCTGCAAATTGTGGTAATAGGTTGAGTTCTCCCTCCCTCCCTCCCTCTCTCTCTCTTAAAAAAGAAATGCAACAGTTTCAGTGTTGAAATACAGCCTTTATTGGCTGCCTATCTTACTTTTCAGTTAGAAGCAAACCCTGATTATCAAAATTCTAGAACTCTGATATGATGGATACAAATTCCAAACATGAATTACTGGCTTCTAGAAGGTACTCCCTTTCTTATTCTCCCTCCATTTTGGCTTCCTTGCCCTAAGCCAGCAAGGGAGGGATTTTTTTCTCCTTTCTACCCATATTTTGTCTCAATGGGCTTCCTCCAGGTGGATAAAATTGGGCTGAGCACCCTGTAAAATTAGGCTGAGGACTACAGGTTGTTTTATATTTCTGTTAGTGTTGTCTCAATCCTACAGAGGGCATTCTAACCTTAGAATTACACTGAACTCTGCAGGTTTAGTTCTTGGATTAAATGTTCTGCTTTATGGATCTTGAACATTTATTTAGCATATCTCAGTGCAGGAAGCAGAAGTAATCACGTGATATTCTTATTAAAAAAAACTTTTGACACAGCCATCACAAATTGTAGCCAATATCTTTTGAAAATGTCCCGAAACATTTGAGTTTTTACATCTTCCTGTTTGGGTAGTCATGTGAACTGTGCTTATGGAGTGAAGAATTCTTCAAATAGTGGAGTCTTTACAGCTCGTTTTAAGCTTCTTTTCTCTGCTGCTCTTTCAGTTTCATTAATAGTTCCCTCAAGAGTCAAAAGGCTTTCATTTTGACAATAATGCCTACACTGTTCCTTTGGAATTAAAAAGTCTCTATCAATAGACTCCTTTGTATCTTCAGTGGAAAATGTTCCAGAAAGTCTGTAAGTCAGACAGATATTTTATGAAATCTCCATCATCTTATCTGATTAATAATCTAGTTTCTTTGGATAGTTTCATACCAAAATATCGCTTGGTTGAATAGTCATATTCAAATGAGTGATTAAGAGTCTTATCCACTGCATTCTAATTTAGAAGTAAATTCTATCATATTCAGTATTTGTTCCCAAATAAGTTTCTATAAGGTTGAAACTGGGATAAAAGGGTATTGTAAGTAGACCTTTATTGTACATTTGATCTGCCTTATTCTCAGGTTGGAGGTAGTGATCCAGACATCATCTTCTGATGAACCTGTACTTTCCCATTGCAGTTCCTTCCATATTTCTTCTTGCAACCAAGAATTTACTAAGGTAGGAAAGAAGAAGTAACAGAACTATTTTTAAACTTATAGTGCTAGAAGTTCTCTGTTTAGAAGCATACTTGATTCAGGTGAGGTATTTATACGGAGCTGAAAAATAAATTACAAATGTTTGTTATTGATAGAAGAAGAATCCATGACAATTGTATTTTTATTCTATTTAAAAACTTTCTTCTTCCATCTGAATATTTAACATTTACTTAGGATCTTAAGCCAGCCACCAGCAAAAAATTAGACACTTAACACTTTAAAATATTCATAATTTAAAATAAAAAACTGAAATCTGGAAAGAGCAGCATGTTATAATTACCACAATAAAATATGTAAGACATTCAAAAGCAGATTAAGAACCTGATTAAAAACTACACGTTAAGTATTAAATGCATTCTAAAAAGAAAGGTCTTTATCAGCTTCTGGAAGGCCACTCATGAGAAAATGACCTAGGCAAAATGTAAATGTTCTCTACAGATGAAGGCAGTAAATATATCTGTCTGATTTCAGAGTTTTTGCTTCATCTTATCTACTTAGATGGACCACTTTTGGGGATGCTAACTTCTCAGCTTCTCACTTGGTAGTATTGCTGTGTTTCAAAATGAGCCTTCATGACTTGTGATTTGCCAGATCCAGCTCCTTATCAGCCTTATATAGAGTTGCATGAGAAATTTGACCAATACTGATTTTTTGCTACTTATGTGGGACTGCATTGATTGGGGGGGGGCATCTGGGTGTGAGATAAAGCATGATTGGTTATCTGTGATCTGGCTTTTGATCTGCATAATGTGCAGGTTTGCCTTAAAGTATCTGAAAGAAAGAATAGCTTTTTGTTAATCTGTGTATAAACTGTGAAAATAGACTGTTATTATTTGCTATGTACAAATAAAGAACTGAAGCTAAAACGTGGGATATCATAAGGGTAAATAAAAACAACTACTTCACAAATTTTCTATGTGGTTTAGGAAAAAAAATCAATTTCCCTGGATTATGTGTATTGTGTTGGTTTCTCTTTACAGTATTGCATAATTTCCAAACTTGCGTGCCGAAGGCAAAGTAGACACGAATAATTGATGTGGATAATGAGTCCGCATCACTTCCCTCTTACCTAGGTAGCTGAGAGACTTCATGGGAAAAGGCCGTGTGGAGCAGAATTTAGATTCAAGCCCGCTAATTCATCTGCTGGACTGGCTTTCAGAGGTAGGTGCTGTTAAAGGGTGATGCCAAATGAACTTGTTGGTATTGATCTTCGCATTGTAAAGGTAGGCATAACATGGAAGACAATATGAAATGCTTGAATGTATAGCAAGAGATTTCATAAGACTTCTGTTCTTGTGTGGCACTTTTTGAGAAACTGCATACAAACAGCCTCAGAAGAGGTGATTGCAAACAAATAACCACAAACAACTGCTGCTAGCTTTTGTGTGTAAGGAAAAACAAACAATTAGCTATTGCTTTATTTGTCCTGCAGCTCAAGTGAAAGTGGTGGGATAGGAACAAGAGATAAAAGATTTAGGAACTGTAGCTGGGCAATTTTAAGTTCAATACCCTTGACTGGCAATTTATTTTTAACAATGGCAATATATTTTGAGCTGAATAAATATTGAAAGCGCAGTGAGGTTAACGTTAGTTACCTACTCTTAAAAATAATGAACTGATTCTAATTGGCCCTTCTATGTCTATCTTGTCCAGATGTCCAAATCTACAGTATAACCTCAGGGAACCCATATTCTCATTCAGTAATTCATATCTTTCTGTGATCTTTCTATAACTTGCTACTTAGGTACTGAAAAAATTGTTTAAACATAAATAAATAAAACATACTAGCTTGCAGCTAAAACAGCAAGTCTTTCATAAGCATCTAAAAACCTTTTGTCTATGCAAAGAATATGATGGTGAAGTCTTCTGCACTGTCTCCACATTCCTTCTTGTCATGGTAGATATATTCTCTGAGACAAAAAGGTAGTTCTGATGTTTGTAGATTTCTGTTTGATTCTTTCTATAAGTCTGAAGGACATCTGAATAAGTATGTGAGGGATGCAAAACTCCAGCCTCCCACAATGCTGGGTTTATAGGCAGATCTAATAAAGATTGAATCTAAGGCCTGAATGAGGATAGTTACCTTTGGGCTAAAACTGAATTTTTGACATTGGTGCATCCCTTTGAAGCATCTTGGAAACAAAGTAGAGCAAAACGTGCTGCAGAGTGGGCTTTCTCTCCCAAGGCTTGTGGGAATGGCTAACAGCAAGCATGGGAGATGCCGAAGCAGAGGCTTACTATGCAGGAAAATTGAGAAAGACTCACCGCAAGTCCCATAACCAGAATTTGGTTACATAATCTGCAGGCGGTGTGATATCTCAGACAGCCTAGTCTCCCAACGTATTGGACATGTTCACCCTGGCATGTTTTAACATCCTCCCTTCCGTGGTTCTTCAGAACACTCCACTCAAGGAAGAATTCAGCTCATACAGGCCAGGTATGATAGAAACATTGGCCCATTTCTTTCTGTACTGTCTCTTCTGTAGGGACATTGGTACCACCATTATTGATACAAAAGTGCCAGATGCTCCAGACGATTTTTACGTAAGCTATTTCCTTGCAGATAAAGACTCTAAAGTCATGTGGAGAGGCACAAAATTTTGTTTGGTAGCCAGCCTGCCATCATGATTTTGCAGGAAAGAGTAGAAACAGTGTGAAGATATAAAAGGGTTGCTACTATTCCATATTATTGCACTTTGCACTGATTTTATGTAACCTGTAAAATCTCTTATATTTTTTATTATGATTTGAAGCAATGTAATTCCTTTTTTATATAAACCTGAGACCATAATACAGCTTATTGAGTGGGGCCAACAATTTGCTGCCTTTTTGCATTTTTTGGGGTGGTTGAGAAATATTCTTATGCACATGTTAAAAGTAGGAATCACAGAATCACATGTATTAATTGTGTTTCTATGATACCAGTGATGCCCCTAGGAATTTTTAAAGAATTAAAAGATAGATAAGGACATGAGGGAGATAACAGTGGAAGGGAATGGAAATGAAGGTCAGGGTAACAATGGGAAAATATAGAGTATTTAGTTATAGTAAAGTGTTGAGTTTGATCAAATTCCATGGGCATAGTGGGCTTGGGGTAAGGACATAAGGGAGGTGGCCTCTTGGAGACATTCTCCAGGCATAAGATGCAGCAAAAAATAATGAGTCTTTTGTGACTGATCATCTTAAATAGCTGATACACTAGTATACAAATATAATATACAAATACACTCAGTATAAGCAAAGGTGTTTGGAGATAAGTGAAGTATCTTTGAAAAATGATGAAGAAGCTCATGAAAGATGATAAAGGAAAGAAGTTAGTAAAAGATTAAGAACAGAAAATAAGCCATTCTAAGATTTTAAGAGTCATGATATGGCCACAGTAACAAGAAAGGCAAATATATATATTTTTTACAAACTACATATTATTATAAATAATATAATTGTAAGGTTAGATTTATATATCTAATGGAGGAGAGAAAATAAAAATGGACACCCACAACAGAAAACTTAGAAAAAGAAAAAGAGTTATTTTTGGAGAAATTAGTTCAAGGGGATTTTTAGGACTTTTTCTCTCTCAAGGAACAGGTAAACTGCTTGGCAAGCTACTTTTGAAATTCTCTCAGATTTAAAAAAATTGCACAAAGATATCACCCATGTCACTTTCATAAGGTAAGTTTTTTGGAACTAGGTTAGATGCTCACATGGTTGTAGTAGCTGAGCAAAACCTAGTTTTTCAAGGATGCATGAAGTATTGTCCAAGTTGTTCATAATCCATATTCTCACCACAGTAATTACAAATACATGACTATTATATTAATAATGGTTATTCTCAAGGTCATTTAATTTTGTAACTGCTGATTTCTTTTATGTAGAGCAGCAGGGTTCAACTCAGGATCATGCATTAAATGGAGTGTTGTATTAATTAAATTTAGGTTTAATTTTAAGCCAAATTACTACCCAGGAAGTTATAATACAATCAAAATAGAAACAAAGAGAAGATGACTATCAAGTCTTGCTAAACTACTCCCACACTGGAGTGGCACAACTGTTAGCATGATGTCCAGGCAAAGTTGAGCCCTAACTTCTCTTACTTTTGGAAAGTAACTTCCCATTTTTAGTATATAATGTTGCCAAAGCAAGCATATTTAGAAAGCAATTACTGACCTTGTTTAGTGCTGTCAGCATATCGTGTCTTGGATGATGTAAAATCATGAGCATACTGTAAAAGTAAGTTTCAACTCAAGGCAACTGAAAACCTCTGAGTTAGGAAAAAGGCCTAGACATTAAGTCATACAAAGAGGAAGGAAAAGAAGGCCTTACAATATTGCTAGCAGCTGGAACACTTGTAAGGGTAGGACTCAGTTGTGATAACATAAGCTGTATCACCAACATTGCTCTAAGAAAGGAATCTAATAAACGACAGAAGGGATTTCTGGTAGCAGTTGGGATGCATTAGGATGGGACTGATGTTTTGTTCTGGAACTAGGACAAGTGACAATAATAGAGGCACATTTTTGGATATTGTTTACAGTATAATCCAGAGTCTTAATGGAGACGTCCAACTGAACTCAGTGAAGCTTACTTCTAAGTACAGTACTGTAAATATGGGTAGAGCTACAATTCCCTATGTGGAGCCATAGAAAATCTCTGTTCTTAATTTTTTTTTCATTATGTGTTTATTTGTGAATTCATATGACTCCTTCAATATAAAACTTCCAGAGTGATATAACAATTACAATAATGACTAGTATAAAAATCACAGGAAACACAGCTCTTATATTCCAATAGAACATTATTAGTTAAAATGTGCTATAAAACATGCTGAAATGTGAGGTTGGCAATTTCTTACAGTTTCCAAAGCACGGTATATTACAATCACTCCAAATCTGTCAAGTAATGTACATTGTCCAGAACTCTATTTAAAAAGATCAATTTCTGGATGTTTAGGAATAATTTCATAACCTTACACATATCAGTGTCTTTAATGGCATGTACTTTTATTGCAAACTCTCGTAAGTAATTAACATTGGAAATAATCACATAACATTTTAAAGGTAAATGTGCATGCCATCCACATGATTAACTATCAGGACTGTGGATCAAGTTCATTGGAAATTTCTTTTCTGGACTAAGTGTGAAAAGAAACTCTTTTTCAAGAGTATTTAATAGATATTAAATGATACTGTGAATACATACTTTTCTTCCTTCCAAAGAGGGGTCCTTAGCCTGCTTGGGCCAGTGAGCACATTTCAAATGTTAAGTACAAAAATGACTGCCAAGGTGGGCATGGCCAGTTATGAGACATCCACTAACCAGAGGGTAAGCTGGTGAGATGTTCCTGTCTATCTCTTTTAGCCTCTAAGGATACTATTTCAGCTTTCTCCTTCTGGGCAGGTAGGCAGGCTTACAGTCAAGAGCTTTGACTGTAACTCCCTTCTTTCTTATTTCTAAGAATGCCTTAGCGATATAAGCGAGGCTGAGAAACATGTTTGGAAATAAAGATTTTTGCTTGAGGATGGCACTTGCTTTATGGCATCTTATGTCCCTATTCTTTTTTTTTTAATTACAGGAATTTAAAGAGAGAGAGAGGTAGGTAGGTAGTAGGTAGGTAGGTAGGTATGCAGCCTAGTAGATGCCAAGGATGTGTTCATAAACCTGTTAGATTTTCAGGGCATCACATGGAGGATTCAGGTCTCCAAAAGTCTGTATAATGTACAGTTAGACTACCA